CACACGACCACTGAAATGCGGCTCGTAAGCGCACCGCAGATCCCGCAGCCATCTGCCAACCCAGTACATCTAATGGCGGCAAATGGAAGAGAATTTCGAGAGCCCCACCAATGCACACTATTGCCATATTTTGAATTTTGCTTATCACTCTGAAGTTCCCGACTGTGTTGAGCGCTGGCCTCCACACCAGAACGCCGTACATTAGGATCGACCTCACCACTGCGGTGTATAGCCAATAAACCATGCTTGGTTTTAGGCCCCACCTCTTCCCGCCGGCCTTTTTACAAGAGTAAAGCGCAATAAAAGCCTTCGTTACTCTCTCCATAACGTTAAACCTCCAGTTCAACTTCGAATCAAGAATTAGACCCAGGAATCTAGCCTCCCTGATAAAAGATAAGCGGATTCCGTTGAGTGTTGGCGAAGCTATTGTTGGTATCTTGCATCTCCACATGAAAATAACCAGTTAGCTCTTTTGTGGGTTGATAGTCAGCCCACAGCCGCCAGCCCAGCCAGAAATGAAGCCCAGGTCCTTTGCACCAGCCCCCTTAGGGCATGAAGGTGCTTTCCAGGCACCGCGACCACCAAGTCATCAGCGTAAGCTATCACCTTATAGAATGAATTAGGGATGAAGGCCACCTTAGCAACACTCCACGTTCTTGGAATGTACGTTAAGTTTATATATCGTAGATGATCTTAAGCCAAGGAAGGATGATTTCCTCAGCGTATTGTACTTCTGCTGGGACTATGTCGTCAGGGCCTGCCGACTTAATTGGATCAGCCGAGCATGGCCCAGAGTATTCCCCTCTCAGTGACCACTGCTCCTGCGCAGCATTCTCCAAAACGACTAGTCGGAGCACGCTCTCCCCAATTATCAGAAAAATGCGTATCCAAGAGCAGCTCCAGAGACCCCGTAGCGAAATTGGTCCAGGAGCCGCCATCAGCCATAAAGTAGCTTGGCACGGCTGGGTCACTTGCCAAAATCCGTCCAAGCCCGGAAACCTCCGCAGTTTCTCCAATCTTGCCGCGAAACTTCTACATTTTTCTACATTTTTTCTACATTGAGTTCTGCATTTTTGACGAAGGGCGTTTAACCCTTCGGCCATACTGTGCAGGCCATACTGTCGAGGTCAGCAGGCGTCCTAGAACATGAAGGGACTCCGGGTCCAAGGACATCGCTTAGCTAGTCTCGGAACTCTGGCAATCAGTCCGCCTGGGGTTCCTGAAAGTCAAAGGAGAATTCTGTCGAGCAACGAATGCAAAATCTATATAGTGATGGTTTCAAAAAAACCAAAATGAAATTTATAATTTCATCGAATTGATTATTCAAAATCCATGAAAGTTTATGATTTGTCACTTTGAAATATTAATAAATCTTTACATCTGTAATAAGGAAAAGAAAAGAAAATGATTAATTAACTAAATTACCAGGTAACGAAAAAATAATTGACGTCCTGTCAATGATACTAGTGACAACCTAATAGCAAATGAATAGGTTCAGCTGCAAAAGCGGAAAAATATTTTGATACAATGTATGCAACCAGCGAAGAAATATATGACAGCAACCCAACAAGACAAATCTTAGGAATATCTGCAGAATCTCCTAGCGTGAGTGAAATAAAAGCAGGAGTAAAGAATTTGAAATAAAACAAGGTCGCAACATAGCAGTGGGAGTATTTCAAACAAAAAAGGGACTTATCATTATGCTACCAAGGGTAACTTGATTAACTGCGATAATTGGAGAGTTATTAACCCTACTAAACATGTCCTATTAAGCAACACATATTCAGAATCCCTTGAGTGAAAAGTAGAACGCAAAATACGTGAAGAACAGGCTGGATTCTGTCTGCATTGGGGCTGCTTTAATCAAGTAAATACACTTTGTTTCGACCGATTTATTGAATAGAAAACGTTGCTATATATGCTGTTAATCGATTACAGAAAGGCTTTCGAAACGATCAACCGCAATGCAATACGGAAGACAATAAGATAAAAGGAACCCCCGAAAAAATAATAAATGAGATACAGAACAAATTAGAAGCTCTCGAAAAACGTGTAGATCTCGAAATAAATATCTACAAAACCACAGCGCAGCGAGTCTGGAAATCAGTGGCTCGTTAGCAGTTTCTTCTATTTGTAATATCACCTGAAGGCGAGCCTAAAAAGAATCGAAAAACAGATTCAAGAAAGCAAGAGCAGCATTACTAAGCTGCAACGGATACGGAAGAACAGAAACAGATGTCTAGATCAACCAAACTCAAATTATTCTGGTCATGTATAAAATCGGTTTCCTTACAGCAGAAGCTGCAAGTTTTCATCAATAAATAATACGTTTAATATTCTGGCCGAAAATTATAAGTGATGTCGAACTCTTTTTTAGCAGATCCGAAGGAGGAATTTGAGGTGAACTGTATACTCTAAGAAACCATCAGAAAGAGTTTAGAGTGGAATCCACAATGTTCAAGAAGATACGTACACGCTATAGCCAAGAATACAACAAGATTAGTTATATATAGTAATAGGTCATGGTAATAATGCACACCAAATATCTCTTACGAAAAAAATCATTTTATATAATCATTCCCATCATACTTATTTATACAAATTTTCACAATTCGATTTTGCACCAAATTTTTTTTCCAGGTTATTGTTGGCAATTGCCAAATAAAGCAAAAATTCATTATCTATGAATATTTTGACGAAAATGGTAAAGTAGTATACAAATCCGTTTTTTTCTATATTAAAGAAAAGGTGGAAATCGGAGGTGATCTAATAAATATAAAAATTGAAGAACGGAAAGCAAAATTTTATTTTTCAATCACAAAAAATGACAACCGAAAAAACAAGTTAGCTTTTATATTTACCCCTTTCTTTTTAAATATACGATTATAAGAGATCTTTGTAAATTTTATGTAATATATCCTAAGATATTCTATCGTCATAATGCAACCATTTCATAAATATAAAAAAGACTGATATAATACGTGAATAAATCTATGAATTTTGTTAACTAGTTAGTTGTAAAATTGTTTTTGTTTTTGTATATTTACAAATGTATGTATTGATAATTTATATAATATTGTAAAAGCAAAATGTACATAATTCATAAATTGTTTTACTATGCCTTAAAGTAAATTTTTGATATTTGCATCATTTAAAACAATTTTCTTCATTTCTTCCACTAATTATGATATTTATCAAATCATCATTTCATACCGTTTTTTTTTTTATAAAATTGTAAACAACATGTTTTCATTTTATAGTAGAGAGCTCCCAAAATATGCTGTAACGCGTAACACAATAATTGAATCTGTTGTTGCATTTGAATCTATCTTTATTTCAGTTTAAGGTGTTGTATTATTTAAAATTATTAATTTATATATTCTACGTTGTGCAAAATTCCATTTTCCCTCATTTCTGGCAACATTATTACCAGTACATCAAGTAACGTATAAATAACAAAATGTTAATAAGAAAGTTTTAAAAAAAAATTTGAAAATATTCAAAAATTGATATAGACGCTTTCTCATACATTTACTTATACATGTAGTAGTATATCAAAATATTTACGGATACTTTTTGAAAAGGGAAACGATAAGGAACAAAAATATGAATTAGTTTCCGAAAAATATTTAATTTTGATTTTTTTATTTGTTTTTGTTTTCGTTTTTTTTTCAGCATTCATAAACATTGTCTTTTTTTGTTTGTTTTCTCATATTTTTACTTTTTTTAAAGAAAATTTATTTTATTAAATTTATAAATTATATTGATTTGATCTTAGGAAAAAAAAAACAAATTCTAATTTCGAAAATTGAATTTTGTAACACATACACACTATACATTTTTATATTTACATTTAAATTGTAAATAAACCTGCATGTATACAAAACCGACAAAATTTAAAATATTATAATCTATAAAAAATAACAAATTTATACTAAAAGTTCTGAAAATTTATAATTTTTTCTTTCAAATGGTTTTGCATGAGTTTTGTGTTATGTGGCGCCTGGTAAACATAAAAGTGAATATTAAAAAATATTGGAATTTCAACATATCTCACTTATATATATATCTAACATGAGCTACACATCATACGTATCAAAGAATGAGACAACCATCGGTCTCTCCAGCGAAAAGTTACGGACCCTTCAGGTTCGAAGGAGCTGATAAAAACAATGACTAGTGCCTAGGTTACGGACCCTTCAGGGGAACCAAAAGGGCGAAAGGTCATTGCTGCTCCAAGAATCAGGTAGCTGCGTTGGTAAAGGTGGAGTTTCGTGGGGTCTGAACGGAGTTTGTCGTATGTTCATCAACAAGCAGTTGATGGAACTAATGTGAAAGGAGGAAACTCCAATTGAAAATAGGATGTGACGCCAATGTCTACCACATCATCTGGGGTAGCGGAAATATTAATAACAGAGGTGAATGCCTCCTTGAATTCGTATACATCAATAAATTATCGATTATAAATGAGGGAACAGGCCAACGTTCATAGGTCCAATTAGCGAAGAATTTAATTTGAGTCAGTAATAAGGCTGATGGATGGCTTGTCTCAAATGAAATTTACGTCCGACCATACGCAGATTAGATTTGATATCCTAGTCTCTGGGAGCTTGGCAGAAGAAACAGATCGGATGCTTCAATCTACAGATTGGATCAATTCGAAACGCTCCTCATGGAGGGGTTTGTTTCCGTGTCCAATTCTGCTAGGATGCTATTAGACATTTAACTGGATAGCGAAGCTCTGGCGAATAAAAACTAAATTAAGATGAAGATTTTACCAATTTATTTTTAGAACTTTCTCAAAATTATTATATCAATATATACCAAGTGTAATTAAAATTTTAGAATATTAGAATAACTTTTTAAGACATTACTATTCAAGATCTTAACACAGTATACTCGTAGATTATATAAAAATAAAATGCAAACTTTATAATTAATATGACTCTAGTTTTAGGATGTGAAAATATTATAATAAAAAATTAACTTTAACTACTTACCAATGAAAATAAAATATATTTGCTGTTTCCTTGTTTTTTTTTGTTTTGTCTCGCCAAAACTATATATATGCAATGCTTAAAATTCCATATGAAAAGTTTCTACTGTATAGTTAACAATATACATATGATTTTCTTTCTTTCTCGCTTAGATGTCTAAACGGATCTTTGTATACTTGAATTAATATGTACGTGTGTAAAAGTCGAGTTATCTGAAAACCACAAAAAAATTTAAATGAGAAAATTTCCAATAACTCTTAATAAATTTTATTAAAAATTAGGATACTTTTCCACTAACAAATAAAACACAATGCTAGGTTAATCTCTGTTTTAAGTTGTTTAAAAAATACTTTTCATTTTTACTATTTTTAAATTTTCCTTTACCACCTACCATAGTTTTCCGTTTTTCATTTACTTATTTATTTGTTTATAATAAAAAACTGTGACAATTTTCGAATAATAAACTGTAGACACTGTTCAATGAAAAATATAATAGTATAAAATGCAAATATTATAAATTGAATATGAATGTATTTAAAAACATGTATTTTTAAACAAACATTAAATACATGTGTACGTAATTATTCATGCGTCTAATAGTATGCGATATAAATTGGTTTCCCAACATGGGATTAATTCACCATACATGTAAAGTTTAAAACTGCTCTACGTACTATGTGCTGTAATAAAAAGCATATAAAAGTAAAACAAAGAAAAGAATACAAACATTTTCTATAATTCAAAATAAAATATTAAAAAAAATTGAAAATCCTTGAAAGAGGATAATTACATTTTATGCTGAGACAATATTTATTAAATGTTTAATAATTTCTAAATAATTGTAGATTACACTATTGCTATAGAATAAAATGAATGCATTAATAATGTATATACTTCGAATTTTGTCCCATTTAGTACTATTTATTCTAAATTTATAATATGCGAATATTATAAATGTAATCTACAGTTAAACACACCAAATTCAATGTTTATTTGCACTCATTCATTCCAGGTTCGCGTTTGAGCCAAACAATTTGGAATAAATTTGTGCAAATAAACACAAATTTTTGTTTTTGGTCAATATGTATTCATAAAATTGTCGGGAAGTAATTCTCCGCTTTTCATATGTCTAGAGTTGTAATGAATCAAATTAATTTTTAAAAATTTTAATGAAACCGTGATGAGTATTAGTTATACAGTAACCCGCCCCTACGCCGCCTCCTCTCCCCTTTTATAAATTTCTTTAGTTCAAAATTTATAATATTGAACATATATGTACATACGTTAGTTGTTGAGTGGTTGAATAAGTCTTAAGAACACAAATAAAAAAAACTTTCTTTATATGCTTCTAAAGTTTTCCATTTCTGTTTTATTAGTAATCGATCGATTTTTTGTAAAGAAAATTTTAAATATATTTGATTGAAAATTAATAAAAATTTTCTATGTAAATGCAAACTTTCATTATTTAATTTTTTTTGTATTCACAGTGCATTATGTACTCGTATACCTACTTTGAAATAGCAATAATATTTAATGTTTTAACATTTTTATTTTTAGAAATGATATTTCTAGAAAATAGATATTTTTAAAGATAAATTTACTTTTATAATTCCTGCTAAACAAAAGTGCATCTTAACTTTTGTAATAACAGAATGAAGAAAGTATATTTACTTGCTTATTTTTAATATGGACGCTTTAAAGTATGTAATATGATAATATTTTAAATTACAAATATTTGTAATTTTAAGAAATTTTCCATATTTACATAGCTATTACAAAAATTATGAAAATAAAAATTTTTTAAATGTGCATGAATTTACAAAATAAATCTTTAATAATTTTCAATAAGAAATGGAAAATATGTTTATGTGTTTTACGTATGCAATAAAATTTTAAAGTCATGTGAAGATATCGTGAAATCGTCTTGTGAAGATATCATTTTTCTATTCTATTAAATTATACTTTCAACATCTAACATCTTTCAATGAGTTTGTATTTCATTTCTACTGCATATAGGACTTTTTGTTATTATGTTAACTTTTATATCCGAAAGGTATTACAAATTTAATCACAAGAAATGTAATTACAAGGTTTGTCATATTCCGATTTTCGGCGTTAAATCTTATAACGAAAGATTATTGATTATGTACGTTTGTCATTATCTACATAAGTTTAGTTAGTTTAGCCCCAATGCTGCCACTAATTCCAGTTTCCTCATCTATACTAATCTGCAAAAGCCCCTAAGGGCGGAAGCACCGACCAGTCCACTGCCGCATTGTCAGTGGCCGCCCTCGATCTGGCCAGGTCGTCGGCCATCTCGTTTCCTTCGACACCACTATGTCCCGGAACCCAGCACAAGGTCACTCTACATGACCCGCATAAGGCCCTTAAGGCCGCCCTACATCGTCGCTCTAATCTAAATTTGAAGATGCGGGAACCCAGCGCCCCAAGAGCCTCCCTGATATCCACCCAGCTAATACGCCGTTCGTCACCGCAATTTCAGCGCAAGCACCTCAGCCTGAAATACGCTACTGCAGTCCGGCAGCCTAACAGATAGCTTTAACCCCATCTCACAGTCCCACTGGATGTCTTAAAACCATCAATGTAGACAGAGAAGCCCTGGGCCCTTCGGGGCCCACATAATCTACATAGTCTACAAAACTTAATTTACAGAAATTTTGTTTATAATATTTATTTTATTGAAGTCTACAGTCGATTAGAACAAATTTTAATTTAACAACTTGTTTGAATATCGGAAATCGAATGACATTCCCGAACTTCAGACATTTGAATTCACACAAATCGTTTTTGGAAAAAACAAATCATTTACATACAGGAATCTAATGAGCAAAAGCGTAGCCTTTATCACAATTTTTAAAAAGTAGTAGAAGCATACCTAATAATTAGCAGAACAAGGTTTATTTTTCATTCGTTCCACTTTTTATTTTTTTGTTTTTATCAATCCCTATATTATCACAAATTTTACATTGATATTCTGAAAAGGTTCCTAGTCCTAAATACAAACATATCGACAGTATTCTATTTTATTATTCTTTCATTTAAAAAAATAAAAAAGAAAATAAAATCGAAAATTCAAATATGATGATGTAGACGATCAATATATATACATACATATAATATGTATTCACATATTAGGTGTACATGTGGAAAAAAATTCTTTTTTAAGAAAATGGTCGGAATTTTTCTTTTTTTTTTCAGTGTACCTACAAATGTTTGCTAAACCAAAGCAAATTTTTAATGAAATGCTCTCAAGTACAACATGACACCAGAAATAGTAAAAGAAGAACTCAAATTTTTTCTGCTTTCTTTTTTATTATTCTTTTAGTTTATTTCTTATATCAATGTTTTCAGTTATAACCACCCTCGCCTATGTTTCATTCAGTATACAAGCAACACACTATCTTATTTAATTTCTTTGAAAAAATCTTTAAGGACTAAATATCTGAATGTGGCCTAATAAATAAGGGTACATACATATGCAAGTAAAGAAGAAAACCATATTATAAGAGTAAGTTATAGCAAGGATGCGATGAGGTTTTTAAGGATATTCTTTATATCTTTATATTACATCAATGTTAAATAATTATGTAAAATAAAATAATAAAAATTGGAACAACCTAAAGGAGAAAAAATAATAACAATAAAAAAAAACTAATTTTTATAGTATGAAGGGAAAAATGCCTAACGAAGTGGTTAAAACCAAATTAAATCGTTATTTTTTGTCCTTCATATTGATAAACAGAATAATTTGGTTATGCCATTAATTTTCTTTAAAAAATTTTATTTTCTTTTAAAAGAGAAAATTCAGTTAATTTATTAAAATAAGTGCTAAATAAATTTCAGGATTTTTCATAAGTTTTTCACTTTATAATTGAAATATGAAATTTTCATTATTGAATTTAAGCGACATTTAAGTTATGTTAAGGTTGCATGAATAATTTGCTTTGAGTAAAAGAAAAATTTGAGAGTTTTATCGAACATAAACAGAAGTTTCCTTTTCATTTCAAATAAATATTTGTTTGCCCATACCTGAAATAACTAAAGTAAAGTGCTAAATTAAACATATTTTACCTTCAAGTTTATAAAAATGTATAGATAAAATAAAAGATATAGAGATTAAAACAGATTTTTGAATTACATGATTGTCAATAGAACTAGGATTTTCCACGGGTTAGTTCAAGCGGTTAGCACTGCCCCTCCAATCAGTGAAAAAAGCTTTGATAACGACTTACCGACTTCTTAGAAAGGACGGGCCAGGGCAGAAGTTGGCCCAAAAGACTCACAGAGACTTCATTGAGTGTGATATGATTCTATCCACAGCCATGTCGGATTCCTGTCTGACACGGTAAAATTTTGAGTACAGTACAAATTTCTGTTTTAATTACATGGACGTGGGATCGGGGCAACCCGATTTACATATAACTCGGGTTTAAAATATGGGTCCCAATTCCGACAATATGCTAGAGCCAAATGGCTTACTTTGTTGAAATGGCTTATCACTGAAGTGATCAATCTAATTCTATTTTAAATAATATAATTTTTGCATTTTTTCAAAAGAAAATTTTTTGAATATAAAAAAAACTTGGACAGCCAGAACTTTAACTTATATTAAAAAATCCTAAATTTTTATTAAATATGTTATTTAATAAGGTTAATATTGATATGACAATACTGGAACACAGTCGCATACACATATGTATGTCATAAATTTCGAATATGTTAAAAATGATTAGATTTTGTCAAAATGTTTTTTGTTTATTATTTTATTTTACCATTATTATTTTTGGAATATGCTAGTAAAGAATCGTAAAGAATTGAAATTTATTTAAAAAATAATATATGTAATATATTTTTGATCAACTATGTAATATGGATAAACATAACAAAAGGAAATCAAAAAACGATAATAAATGGGAAATTACCTATTATAATATTGCCATAAAGAAATGGGAGCGTGTACAAATGAAATATATGTATGTATGTACATGGCTGTACATGTGTCTAGTAGACTCAAATAAGACCCGTGTATAGAACATGAAAAACAAAAACACAAACCAAACAAAAGAGAACAAAAAGATCTTGTGTCTTATCGAATTTGCATTTTGATTTCTATTTAAAAACAATTTTTTTATATTTTTCGAATAAAAATAACCAAATAAAGAAGTTCTAAAAACCAAATATAGAAGTTCTT